GAGTACCTCCACCCACGGTGTATAAAAGCCATTGGGCTGAACTTTGGATCGTTTAACTATAGTAGAAGATATAAAGATGTCTATTTATTTTGAAGGCAAGTCTTAACTAAAAAATCTGAATCAACTTAGTATTTTGAATTAAATTTACTCCGTGTTTGCTACGAGTAAAACTCTAAGTTAACAAGCTAATTGTCACTAGAGCAATGATCCTGTGTTTAAATTTTTGTGTCAATTAATATGCCAAGATATACTTTTAGAAGAAAAATATCACATGAGTATTAATTTGATTTACATTTAATTTCCTATTTAATTACAATGCAAAGATTAATTTGACTCAAGATAGAGTAGGGAACAAATTGACTCCCGAATGTAATTATAGGGACTAAAACGAGTATTAACTCGTTAAAGTCGCTTTATCTTTATCCATATCCGCCTCATGCATATTAATACATTTTTGAAAGTGGTAGGTCCAAAGATAATCACCTAGGAACAGTTCAAGAAATTCCACTTTATGTGTATGTAGATGAATGAGTTTTACTTTTTTTTATACTCTCATCTCCGAGGAACGTTGACGCTTATTTCGACTCAAAAATTAAGAAAAATAGAATTGTGTGATTGATAAAGAAGAGATTAAATGAGGAACATAAACTTGTTATGTGCAATCTAAAGTAGAATCTCTTACTTAGACACACAAGAAAGTTGCAACTAGTGATCTCCTTCCGTCACTAGCTAGAAAAATTAAAGCAGAGGAGCTGAGGGTGATTGAAGGAGCTAGATGATGCTCGCCAGATGAAATCAGATGGGAAAATAAAAGGTGTTTGACTGGGGATTCATAATAATGATTGGATTTTGATTCCCACTATCCAACACCACTTTATTTTTATTATTTCCTCTCTCCGATGAGAATAAATTTAGGAGTATACCAAAGGGAGAAAGACCAAAGTATGACTAAAACATTGAAAATATATTAAAATAGGACTTCCATGTTTTTATTTCCGAAATAGGACTTACATTACCAAACATGGTCATATACATTACCAAAAAAATATAGTAATTTGCACATGTACACTGCCACATTACCACAATGCAAAATCACATTACCACAGTGCAAAGTCCTATTCTAGGAAAAAAAACATGAAAATCCTATTTTGGTACTTTTCTCTATGTTTTAGTCCTATTTAGGATGATTTCTATACACCAAAATAAGGTACCCCATTTGTATACCAGACAAAAATCAGATAAATACGGGTATTTAGTGTCTGTGGATCACAGACACTAAGCATCTGTATTTGCCTGATGTACGAATGGAGTACCCCATTTTGGTGTACTGCTAGCATGCCCCGTCCCACAATAATCTTTTTGTTTGACCTTTCATAGTTGTTAATGTAACATTTTAACTTTTAATATTTATATTTATACATAGATATATTTTATAAATATTTAATATTTTAAAATTGTGTTTCATAAGAAAATTATTAGAGAAATCACACTAAATTGAAGTAAAATATAGAAAAATATCAAAGTACGAGTTCAATGTGACATTGTATATGATAATTTCACAATACTTTTTAGCTCATGATTCACACTGCATATGTATTTTAACTCTTATTTCGGGGATAAAAATATTGAAATTCTATTTTAGTATATTTGGAATGTTTTATTCTTACTTTAGTCTTTTTACTTTATTAATATTGCACTTATATTACATTTGTGTCGAAGTACAAAGCATTTTATCTATGCATTGAGATCAAAATTTACAATTTTAATTAATAAAAATTCAAATGAGAAAATTATCATATCGTGAAGTACCTTACTTTACCTAAGTAAAGTGTGTGTCCGGTCTGCAATCCCAAGAAATGCTTTCCCTGCGGCAGGCCATCAAGTGGATTCCCCGCCCTCTTTTCTCTTTATTCTTTCTTTCTTTCTTCTTTCTTTTCCCCCTTTAATTTCACGCTCTTCTTTTCTTTATGCTACCACTAGTACTTTTCTTTCTTCTAAAATTAAAGTCGCCTGGCCGATTACCATGACTATTGAATTTATTTTTAATTTCATTTATTTTAAAATTAATGCATAAAAATTTGTTGGGTTTCTTTCTTAATAGCATCAACAATGGCAAGTATAAAAACGGAATGACGCACGTTGACGTGATACATTTTAACAAATAAAAAATAATACATTCAGCGTGTGACAAGTGAGTGAAGTGACATGTCTTGCAGTGACAAGTCATTGATTTTATCAGTTTTTACACTTTTTTGACATATTTTAATTATTAAAAGTTAGAGAAATTTACTTAAATAGCACTAAAACATAATAACTTTTCCTAAATAGTATCACATGTGTTTTTTCCAATGTAGCAATTTTAGCCATTATACATTAGTCATTATTCAAGTAAATGTTTGTCATCACTGGACATTATTAAGTGCTATTTAGGGAATAAAAAAAATTTAAGTGCTATTTCGAGAAACGACTTAAGTTTTAGTGCTATTTAGTGCAAAATATTTCTAAAAGTTATTTTTCTTATTTTAAAAAAAAACATCTTTATACTTCTTTTAAAAAATCTTGTATTTTATGAAAAAAGCAAAAAAAAAAAAAGAGGATTAGTTGACACGCGCATGGAATGCAAAGCATGACAAATTGTTTATGCCTTGCAAGACATTTTATAAAAATTGATGATGTGTCGCAGTGGCAAATCCATGCCACTGCCGATGCTCTAATTGGATAGATTCTAGAAAATTCAAGAGCTCTCTGGAGAAGTCAAGAATTTTCTACAATGGCCTGGAGAACTCTAGAGAACTCTAGAGAAGTGTAGAACTCTCTGAAATATCTACAGTGATGAGTCACACACACAAAATAGAGGTCTTCAACAAATAAATAGACTGGTAGGATGATATGACACGCACAGTGTTGTAACACACTCACAAGCAAGCAAAGCAGATAAAGAAATAACGAATCACACACACACACACAATATGTTTACGCAGTTCGGAGCTGAATCTCCTACGTCTTCGAGGCCCACGTCCGTGTAACAGTCCTCCACTAGATCATCGTAAGTTGTACATCAATCAAACACAAGAGTGACTTCAAGAGATTTGACTATGAAACTCCAGGGTAACACGGTACTCAACTCCTGGATCAGTATATCTTCTCAAGGTTGTATGCTATATGCTTAGCAACCAAATTCTGCAACTCTGAGTTCACAACTCAGAATCTCACGCCTAGGATGAACAATATTGCGTGAACTCTTATTGACTTGGTTTCTATCTTGTTTTCTGGAGCACTCGTCTCTTTCTCTCTCTCCAGTCTCTCTGCCTTCTTCTCTGGCGTTCTGTATATATAGATCACCTATCAACCCTAGCGTGCTGCTTAAGTATTTACTAATTATAATTTTTTATGCTAGGATATAATTATTTTTCCTCTATGTCTTTATCATTTCAATTAAATAGACATAAATTTAAAATATTACATAGTATGAGTATTTAAAAATACATTAACTAGTTGGAATATGTACAGATACATTGACCAGGTTGTTGACCCAAGTTAACCCATTATCAGAACATTATTATGAGGGAAGTGGATAATTCTGCATCATTTAAATTATTGAATATTCTCAAGAAAAAAATTTAGAATAGAAATTAAATAAACAAAGCATGTAGGGTAAACAATAAAGTGCGTGTGCATGGGTAGATATTATTCGGTGCGACAATAATAATGTTCCAAATAACCTAACCCCACCAATTCAACTAACTCCATTCCATTATAATTTTATAATATATGATCCATGTAATTAAGCATGTATGGATATGCATGCACCTTTGGGTCAATGGCTTCAGCTTCACTACGAGGAAAATGTGAAGCGGAATATCCCTTTCTTCATCTCTCAGCCAACATATAGCTCTACAATATACGGAGTACTTTGCATCTCCTTTAATTTTTCACTCAATCATATTCCATTATTCTTATTCATATTATGTAATATGGCCGGCCCCTCACGTAATAAAATGTATATACTCCCTCTTATAGTATTCCGTATTTGTCTAGATTAATTTTTGTATAACTCATGCACGCTAATCATTTTTGTATAAACTCCATCTCATAGTATTCGTCAAAAACATCATTGACAATAACTAATTATTAAAAAATATAGATACTATGATACAAAAAGATAATTTTTATATAACTCATGCATGAATGCTAATCATGTTAAAGATATAGATATCGCAATACTCGTGTTAGAAATCATTTCTAACATAACACAGAGTATTCCACTTGTAAATATCTCAAAGACGTTCACTCTTTATCTTTCTTTTTAGTGTGTGTGTGTATATATATATATATATATATATATATATATATATATATATATATATATATTACTTTAAAAGTATGGAGAGAGTATTGTTATTAAATTTTTCTCATTTCACCCTTAAACTGTCGTCATGTATACTATTACTTTAATTATTATTATTATTATTATAATGATGATGATAATAATAATGCTCCCTCCGCTTTATAAAAGTGTTCTTATTTTGACTTTGTGTAAAAATAAGGAAGTGTTAAATTGTAGTTGACTTCCAATTTTGCTGTTGATGTGATGGGTAAAAGTAAGATGTGATGGATTGAGTATTAGAAAGAAAGTATGATGTGATAGGTATAGTAGGGTATGAAAAAGTATGGGTAAAAGTGGTTTTTTAATAGAAAATGGAAGTGTTTTGTTGGAAGTAAAAAATTGAAAGAGGAAGAGTTTTTGAGAACGGAGGAAGTAATAACAATATGAAAGTTTACTTAAATAATATTTTGTATTCTTTTAGTCATTGTTGCAAGAAAAAAAGAGGGAGTTGAAAAAAAATTAGAAGAAGTTGGAAGAAGCCACAAGGGGTTAGAAAAACATATGCCATATTCCTAAAATATGACCTCAAACTTAAATTAAAATACCCTAAATAGGACTTATATTATTAATGTATATATAAAGTACCATTGGCCCCAATGCTCCATTCCTAAACCTTATCCCGATCTTATACGCAGATCTCTTTCCGTCGTCCCCCTTCTTCAATATACTCAATTGCCTCCATCACCTATTCATACCTCCATCATCACCATCGCCGATTCACAATGTCATCGCCTCCGCCGCCATACACCCCTACCCTTTCTTCCTGAATCCACTTCAATCGCTGCTTCCACTGCCGAATCACAACGCAATCGCCACTGCTGCCATGCATTTCCACTCATCACAGACTCGCCGCTGCCGCCATGCACCCCATCTATCTTAGACTTGTCGCCGCTTGCTCATCGCCAATCTCCCTTCCACCGCCCACCCCTTTCTTCAATTGATTATTAGAATTGTCACTGCTGCCACTTAATCGCAACACCATCGCCGTCGTCATGCACCCCCACTCCTCTCAGATTCATCGTTCCACCGATGTGTAGCCATCCCACCTTCATCTCCCTCCTCTAAAGCCTGATTTCAAAAGTGGGTGAGTTCTCTCTCATTCTTTAATTGAATTTTATTATCTTTGAATTTTGTTGCCAAACAGTCGAGCATGACATTAGATTTGGTTTGGCATTATGGCTTTGTGTGACATTTGTGAATTCACATGGTGGCATTATATATAAGCATTTGTGGCATTATATATTATCCTATGTGACATTATATGGTGTCATGTTTTCCATTATGTATTTGGCATTATATTTGATTTGGCATATATTATGCCTATGTGTGACAATGTAAATTCAGAGTGTGGTATTATATTTGGGGATTTGTGGCATTATATATTGTCATGTATGACATTTTGTGGTGCCATATTTGCAATAGTGTCTTTCTTTGACACTGTATTGAAAATTAATGTGACACTACGATGATGACGGTGCAAATTGTGATGCTACTAGTGTGGGCGAAAATGGTAGAGAGTGGTGATGTCGTTGGTGACGGTGAAAAATCAACAACAGTAATGGTGGATTTTGACAGTAGTGGCACAACGGCGATGAAGTAGGGCTTGGCGGTGGCAGAGATTCAAGTGATATGGCAAGGACATGGCGGCGGCAGCGATTGGGGCGCAACGCCGACAGAAGTAGTGGACATCAGCGTCGGCAAGAAGTTTGGGGTGTAGCACTGTTGATGAATTGTTTTCTTTTTGCTTTGGAACTATGGAAGATGAGCAAAAGAAGCGGCATATGGGGATTGAGCTGTGCGAGAAATGTAAAGATGATTCGTGCACCCATTAACTCCTATTTTGAGGACTTGATCTTTTCTCTTATTTTGAAATTTAATCAATTTTTTACTCCCCTTCTTAACCCTTGAAGTTAAGAGTTAGAAGCCAAAGAATATAGCCTAAGAATTGTTAAAACCACTTTTAGGCTCACATTTATAATGTTAGTTTCGAAAAGTGCCCAAAAGAAACTTATGAAGCCCATTTTTTCCGTTTTATTCACAATCTTTTTTAATTAAAAAACAAAATAAAAAAGCAAAAGATATTTAGTGCAAATATTTCATAAGTTTTAGTGCTATTTAGTGCAAATATTTCATAATTAAATGGATAACTAGCAAGTCCGATCCTTAATATTTGAACTTTTTTCAAAAGTGATTCTTTTTAGAGTGCTTCTTCGGTGCACCTTGGGTGCATATCAATTTTGTAGACCTTCTTACATAATTTTTTTTATTTTTTATTTAAAAAAATGCTTATTTAGGTAGTAAAGAAATGTTTATTTTGCTCATATGTAGGCTCATGATGAACTTTAGGTCCACCATAAAATTTGCCTCCATTTTAAAGCTATCGGTAGTACTCTATATGAACTTAGATGCTATCAACTCTCCTAAAATTGATTGATGTTATGAGAAGTTCATAACCAAGCCCTATAGAGTTATAGTACATTCAACATACACAAGCACCTACGATATTTGAGTGTGACTTAGCTCACATAACTGTTGATATGGGACAATTGATGCACATGTACTTGGCGAACAATCTCCATATATATCCCCCACAACAATATAGTTGCTCCCGCTAGGAATCAAACTTGTGACATTGACTCTGATTTTACTTGTAGGAGCTCAGGTTATTGTCTTCGTGGTTTGGGAGGATGTGAGTATGGACTGCACAATTGGACTACCAATTAATCTCTTGTGGGTCCTCAGTTATTGCCTTCGTGGTGGACCGCCTCACTAAATACTCACATTTTGGACCTTAACCGGGAGATTATGATGCTCATCGTACCACCTTTTTATTCACCAGCATGGTTGTGAAGTTACATATATAGGAGTCCTAAATGTATTGTCTCTGATCGCGACAAGGTCTTCATTGGTAAGTTTTGGCGTGAACTGCATGCAATAAGAGGGACAATACTTAAGCATAGTAGTGCGTTCCATCCATAGACATATGGGAAAATAGAGGTCATAAATCGCACGTTGGATTAATATTTATAAGCCTTTGTTCATACACGGCCTAAGCGTTGGACGGTGTTATTGCCATGCAAAATATTCGATCAATACAAGCTGCCTGCGGCTGACTCCTTTTCATGCGGTGTATAGCCGTCCACCACCAAACTTGGTCCCATATCACTGTGGTTCCAGCAGTGGATGACATTTTGGCTGAGCGTTACGAGCTCTTGCGTCGACTATGGATCCACTTGATGGACGCACAAAACAGATGAAGTTGATTGCCGAAGGGAAAAAGCGTGATGCGGTTTTTGAAGTAGGTGACTAGGTTTTGTTGCGCTTGCAACCGTATCGACAACAATCAGTGGTGCGTCGGGTTTCTTAGAAGCTATCTCTTCGTTATTTTGAGCCTTACAAGATTGTTGAACGCGTTCGAGCTGTGGCGTATCGCCTTAAGCTGCCGAACACATCCACTTGGTGTACCATGTCTCTGTTCTTTGGCCATTTAAGGGGATGAATACCTCACAACAGGAATTGCCCTTGCAAGACGATTTGATAGAGGTTAAGCCACCGTATATACTGGTGAAGTTGCATGCTAGACGTCAGATTTTATGTAACGGGACCCCAAAGGAGCAAGGATTAGTCAGTTGGAGCGATGGTTCTATCGACGTCACATGGGAACCCTTGGCTACTATCCAACAATCTTTTCCGCATTTACACCTTGAGAACAAGGTGAATTCGGAAGGCAGAGAGAGTGATATAACTGCGAGTACGCAAGGCGAGACGCATCAGGAGAATCAGGAGCACAGCACAGCAGTTGAGCACGCGTAGGAGTACCAGTGCGAGGAGGGCACTGAATTGGCAACAAGAGTTTGTGATGAATTAGAACTATATTATTATTAATATTTAATTAATGTAATGTTTATATAAGTGAGCGCAATTATGAGCTCCTTCGAAGATTTCTTTACGGTTCTTTACATCGATGTCGTTTTTGAACCGTCGGGATTGAAAATCTAGTTGAACCCTTAAGAATAATTAAGCAATAAAATATCTCACAACCGTAATCTCTCCCCTCTCGGATCGCATGCCGCCTTGGCGCTTCCTCCTTCTTTCTCTTCTCGTCTCATTTTCTTCGAGCCAAAAGACGCTCCAAGTCTTCTCAATCAGATACGTTATCGTATCATCTCCTCACTTCGTATAATACCTCCTGTTGTTGCCTACTACGTACATTAAATTTCTACATTATATTATTCGAGCTTGTTCTATAAATTTTCTTTTTTGGTATCTCGTTCCTAAACCAGATTGATGAGAAAGTTGTAATCCGTAACTATTATCGACGGTGGATACCCTGACCAGAAAAAAATACAAACTGCAAATTAAAGCAATGTTTGAAGTAAGGAATATACTTTCATCACTTGTGTCCACTCACATATATATAGTAACATTTGTTCGGTTTAGGACTCAAACATATGTGTTTTCCCTAAATAGGACTTCACTTGTTTTTTCCCATATATAGGAGTTAATTTTAATCGTGTATCCTAAATTACCCTTGCTTAACCCAATGCATTTCTCTCCCATAGCTTCCTTTTTTATTTATGATTATGTTGTCATATTTAGAAGATAATGATTCATAAATCATAACTTCTCCCATATTTTAGGTAATTTTCCCCATTTTTGCATCCATTAACTTCCCTTTTCATCCCACACGTTTCTTGGTTTTCAACTTCCTGGTCAAAGTCAGCCGCTACAATTCTTCGTCCTCATCTGTTCCCTACGCCATGTTTTCTTCATTATTAGCTTCTGTATAAAATATTGTTGGGATTTTAAGCGCGTAAGATACCGAAAAATATCGAGAACACCAGAAAAATGAGAGAACAAACACAAGAAGAATATATGAGAGAAAAAATTATATTTCTACTATTTTAGGACAATATACAAAAAACTCTCTACTGTTTACAAGACTAAATTCCAGACACTTATAAACAGATCTTTCAACATCCTATACCCGGATGTATTTTTCCGAGTAACTAAAACCAGCTACTTCCTACATTCACCCACACTCACCAAGACCCCTTGGATTTTCCCGGTGGTATTCTTGTATAGAATTCCTCCCATGTTTCTCTCTCTACCTTGGTGGTGTGTAAAACCCACACACACACACACAAATACTCCGTAGCCTTTCCATATTAAAGGGCAAAGAGAAGCATACCCAATCAATTTGCATCAGGAGAGAACCCGATCACATGCATGCATGTTGGATGTATCCACCATCCATATCTTCATTTTTTATCTTCTTTGTCCTCTTTCTTATTTCCTTTTTTTTTCCTTTTCTTTTTTTCTATCAGGACATTATGCTCTGTTATCTTAGAAGCTCTACATTTTACTGACTATGAATGATGTCGTAAGTCCCTTTACAATCATTGTTAAAGACTGCTAAACATTGCTATCTCTTAATGCCTTTCTCTCATTATGTCCAAATCAGGACATTATGTTCCATTATGTATCAAAGGATTCAAAGCTTAGCTCTTTACACACTATTCACTACTGTATCCTCCCATATCTATCACACTTTAGTTTTTTTGCTGACTAAGAATAACATAATGAGGACATTATGCCCTGTTAATGACTTTATGTATTAAGCTTAAAATTCTTACTAACGTCCTCACTAGGACATTATGCTCTTTTACGTTCTTACTAACGTCCTAATCAGGACATTATGTTAAGGACATTATGCTTTTTTACTGACTAGGAATAACATAATAAGGACATTATACTCTGTTAAGGACATTATGTGTTAAGCTTTAAATTCAAACAACGTCCTATTCAGGGCATTATGCTCTTTTAGGTACCAAACCTCACCTCTTTACATACTAATATCTGTCCTTAACCAAACATATATGTTTTAAAACTTAATAATATTGTTCATATGTTTTTTTGTCAGGTACAACCGTGAACATCAATGCCCTATTGATGCTCGACAAGGCACAACACGTCATGCTACGTATCACATTATTGTTGAGCTTGTAAAACACAAATTTTGTGATGCAACAACGAAGCCGTACCCCCCAAATCAGCCATATTATGAAATTAAAAAATGTACGTTATCCACCGCCATATCCATTATCAAGCCATATTATGAAATTAAAAAAAACATAGATTCAACATTAGGTCGTTAATGACCAGAATAACCATTTCTAAACATTCACGCCATGTTTTTAATACTTACAGGGAAAGCAAAGTCCACCCCCTCTACTTGTTTCCCGATCTATCTAGAAAATAATATATGTTAATAAATGTAAAGAACAACACTAAAATAATTCTACACAACTATTCTATGCATTCATAATGTGCGTGGAACACAAACACCACAACCATGGTTTCGTTCAAATACGCTAAATACTTCTATTCAAAAAACCAAATCTGAATATTTCCAAACCATGCATGTCCATAACTTGCCAAATACCTTCAACAAATTTAAACAAAATACGACCACATGTTTTGAATGTCTAGTTTCACCAACAAAAGTATGGATACTACATGCATATTATCAAAAAAACAGATCATCGACTAGGGCATTATTTTCAAGCACCACAAATTCTATAACATTAGACGGCAGAGTATGCTAAGAACTCCACAGTCATCTTCTTCTTGTAGGCAGCAATTTCATGATCATGCATATCCCCCACATCGCACCCCATCATCAGAAACTCAGCCATCTTCACCACGAACATCCCACAACTTGACCTACAGTGCATAATGTCCTCATTATGTTATTCCTAGTCAGTAAAAAAGCATACTGACCTTAACATAATGTCCTTATTAGGACGTTGGTAAGAACGTAAAAGAGCATAATGTCCTGGTGAGGACGTTAGTAGGAATTTAAAGCTTAACACGTAAAGTCATTAACAGGGCATAATGTCCTCATTATGTTATTCTTAGACAATAAAAAAGCTAAAGTGTGATAGATAGGGGAGGATACATTAGTGAATAGTGTGTAAAGAGCTAAGCTTTGATACATAATGAAACATAATGTCCTGATTTGGACATAATGAGAGAAAGGCATAAACAGAAAGCAATGTTTAGCCCTGCTTTCCCGACCAAAACCTCTTCATCACACAACCTTTTGTACACTTGTAGCAAAATATCCAACGTTAAAACATATACCAGGCATTATATTTATCATTTAAAAACCCAAACCCTTAATGACCTATTAAATTCCTAACCATTGGAAAGATCAAAGTCTCTAAGTTCAGTATCCCCATTTCAACATTTTTTACAGACCAGTACAAAGTCTTTAAATTTCAACTTATAAAAAGTCATTAATCTTAAATCAGACCAGAGACAAGTCTTTAAACATAATCTCAGACCCAGCTCTGGTCACTACAAACAATACAAAATCAATAAAACCACCTTTTGAAAACCTTTCCACCTTACTCAATGATAAATACGGAGTAAGTCATAACTACTCTTAAAAGTCATTAACTCTAAATAAAATCAATGACAAGTCTTTAATCCTAAACTCAGGACCACCTTTGGTAACTACACACAAATCAAAGAAGAAAAAAATTATTACAACCAGTGTAAAGTCTTTAAACCTATTTTCAGGCAAAATTTGGTCACTACAACAAAAAAAAACCTTACTCACTACCAAACCCCTACAAAAACTATCCCGACCAAACAAAAAAAACTTCAAACACTACATTCACCAGACAAATAGGGTAAATAACTAATTTCAGGCCAACTCATTTCAATTACACAACCATGAATCTCACAGGATGCTTAAGTACATAACTAATTTCTTCACAACCACAAAGTCTTTAAAATCCAGTCCATACCTAATTTCTTCACAAAGACTCACATGATGCTAAAGTACATAAATAATTAAAAAGGTTGCAAGTCATTTCAACATCACAGACATTTTCACAAACACTACATATGCAACGTCGACAAACTTACACCTCATTTCAGGGATGATAAGTAAATAAAAAAATAAGAACCACAATAAAAGAACTTACTTGCCCTGAGGTTGTCTTCACTAAATTCATGGTCTTTATTATCGGAATCTTGTCAACGAAATCATCATCGTCATCTACCCGTTCTCTGTTCGCCATTTTCTTCGCTGCATTGTTCCTCGTCGTCATGTCTCCTCCTCAATTCAATTTCAGTATGATAACGCCCTAATCCCCGATTGACGGAATCCTAGATCTATTATACGATACCCACACAATTCGGCATGCAGAGAAGTCGAGACACATTTGGAAACTCGTGCTGGTATCACCTACGGCGGATGCTGCGGCTACACTTTCGGGCTTCTCCGTAAATCATCGAATATTTCTTTTTTGTTTTTATTTTCATTAAAGCCTTAATTGGAGGGCATAGTAGTCTTTTAACTACAAGCCACGTGGACAGAAATAGGACTGCTCCTAAAAAGGGAAAAGAGCCCTCTTTTGGTCCTATATGTGTAATTTACTCATATATATACCATGAAATGCATTATCTTTAATGATGGCCAGCTAGTGCGTGTGTGACATGTTTGGTTTTTCACTCTTATCTTCCCTCTTACATATTTAAGTCATGTTCTCTTCGCCTGTTCTGATTGATTCTGATCTAATTGAAATAAGTTTTAATTTGATTTGATCTGAATGTAATTATATTTAAAATTATTTCTGATCTGATCTGTTCTGATCAGATTCTAATAAGAATAAGTAATAAATAAAAATATAAGTAGAGGAAAAACATGACTTTATTTATCATTAAATCTATTATTTAGATTCCTTGATTCTTTCTTCCCTACATAAAACAAAAAGAATCTGCCAAACTCGACAAAAGAAAGTTTAGAAAAGTAAATGTGAAGATGATCGAGCTGAGAGAACGGATGTCTTATGTGGTTATCCCTTTCATTCCCTAAGCAAAGCATCACTACAATCATTGTTCTTTTTTTTTATGGGCTAAATTGAAGATAGTATGTGATTTAAAAGTGAGAAATATATGAGTTGCACAAATATATTTTTCTCAAAAGGAAAAAGCTAAATTAAAACAATTAAAAAAAAAGAGCAAAAAAGTTATATGTATCTATAAGTAATTATCCTTCTCACAGACATCACAAACAATCAAGATAATGTATTAGTGTTGTTACAAGTAATAATAATAATAATAATAATAATAATAATAATAATAATAATAATAATAATAATAATAATAATAATAATGGAGCAATAATTTGCACACTCGCTAAAAAAGTTTGAAGTGAAATGGGAAATAAAAGAAAGGAAGGGGACAAAAGTAATGGAATATATTCCCCTCTGAACAGAATTTGGACTATGTTTCCTGATATGGAGTGAGAGTTATAAAAACACACTAACCTTCCTATTATAAAAACGCACACAAACACACACTTCTCAATAAAGAAAGAAGCATCAAAACTATTTTTAATTCATCATCATCATCTTCATATATTTCTCTCCATTCCACTATATTCATATATTTATTCACATAAATATGATCTGATATTTTCTTCCTTCATTATATTGAAGCTATATATATACAAAATCAATCCAACTTTCCATCACCACACCTTTCCTGGGAATTTTTTTATATATATAAATGGATCTTCCCCCAAATCTGCAGAACAAGGAAAGCAAAAACTTGATTTTATCCAGTGATCCAAAGCCAAGGCTAAAATGGACTCCAGAGCTTCACCAGCTCTTTGTTGCTGCTGTAACTCAGCTTGGAGGTGCAGAGAGTAAGTTCATATACATACACTGGAACATACATATTCTTTATTTTTTTTGGTTGTTTATTATTTACTAGATATCACAGTCCTTTGTTTCTTGTGTTCATGCATTTTTTATTATTATTATGATTATAATGTGCATCTTTTTAATAATTAAATAATGGTCAATGCTCATAAGATTTGATTGAAAGAAGTCAAACTGAATAAAATTGTGGGATGGTATTTTTTTATGATGAAATCCAATCTGAGAGATTCCCAGATTTGACTCAGTTCATCAGAAATTCTTGTCTGAGTTTTTGTGCTGTTAATGTAATGCAGAGGCAACGCCCAAAGGATTGATGAGAGTGATGAACATTCATGGCCTTACCTTATACCATCTCAAGAGCCATTTGCAGGCATCCTTCTTCTTCTTCTTCTTCTTCTTCTTCTTCTTCTTCTTCTTCTTCTTCTTCTCAGTCAAATACTACTGTCAAATTTTTAAATATCCTTAAAGAAAGAACAGGGATGAACTTGTTAACGATCATTTCTGCAGAAATTTCGGCTAGGGAAAAGCCAACAATTGCAGTCATCCTGCCATGACAAAAACCAAAGTCAAGGTAAGAAATCTTTGAGTTTTCTCACCTGTTGATGGAAGGCAAGAAACCAGACAATTGATTTTAGTGTTTAAAAAAGATTTTTTTTGGTGCAGATTATCAGCAATCTCTGAGCCAGGAAAGCCAGTCACGTTCAGAGAGCTCTGATGGAGCCCAGCATCAGATGAATGAGTAATATACATTTCCAGTTTACATGGAGTATAACCCAATAATAAAGATTGTATTTTTAGCTTATAAAAGATTCTGATCTTTCCAGAAGCATGAAGATTGCTGAAGCATTGCAGATGCAAATGGAAGTGCAGAAAAAACTGCAGGAACAAATTAAGGTAAAACCCATTTCTTGAACCAATCACAAGTCATTGGCCACACAAAATGACAATTATTTGTAGTAAAGAAGATTCAGTTTTTACATGAACAGAGTACTAAAACATATGTGTGTGTATGTTTGTGCATTTCAGGTGCAGAGACAACTGCAAATGAGAATTGAGGCTCAAGGGAAGTATCTCCAGACAGTTATGAAGAAGGCGCATGAAGCACTTTCCAAATATACCCCTTGTTCTTCATCTCAAGCAGAGCTCTCTTCTTTGACAGAATTGGGATGCGTTGGGTGTTCGCAAGAGAGCTCCCTCACCTCATCGGAGAGCTCGGGCAATCACTCAGCCGAGCTTCTTCCATTAATGGAAATGCAGCCAGGGCAGAAGAGGAACAGAAGCATGGTTTCCTCTGTTGATGCTGATAACACTTGTCTTGAAAAAAACTCTCTCCCTAAAAGGATGGGATTCTTGGAAAACATTGATTTGAATGTCAAGTGTGTTAAGGACTTTGATACTTGAAAAAAAAATATGGACATGTTTGGGTTTATTTGATGGTTAGAATTAGTTGCTAGGGAATGTAAGCAGAAGCAACTGGCCCTTGTTGCTAGTGATAATGTTTGTTTTGATATTAAAAACTCCTAACTTTATCCTAATAGTATTACATTTACTCTTGATTCTCTTTAGTCCAACTTCATTATATTTTGTTAGACCATGCTCTCTTGCAAATTTACAAAAACTCCAACTTTTCTCCTTTGAAGAGCCCAAAAACTATTTTTAACTTTTCATTTCTCTTTTTCAAACAAGTTTCTTCTCTTTGATTTGCAAATCACAAGTTTTTTCTTGAATTGCAATGAATAATCATCAAATATCACAACTTTTGAACCAAAATTCACTCAACATTCAACCCAAAACTAGTCATGATTTTAACAGAAGAAATAGAAAACTGAAATGAATTCAAGTGAGGATTGAAGAGAGAGTGTTTATATACATATTTGGAAGCAAAAAAACAAAAAAGTCCCTAAGCTTCTTCAGCAGTGTGATCAGTGTCTCCTACATTCCTCCTACGGCTGAGAGTGAAACTCACCCAAATCTGACCCCTTCGTCTCCCCCGACCTTCCTCGCTCTTCTCCGACTTCTCCCCCTCCTCCACCGGCATTTCATATCTGCAAACAGGGCAAGATCCATGAATCCCCAGCCACTTCTCAATGCAATCCTTGTGGAATCTGTGCCCGCACGGCATCTCCCTGGCCACTTCGAATTCCTCCAGGCATATCGCGCACTCGCTCTTCTCCCCACCTTCAGAGATCTCCACGCTCCGCAGGGCATCGATGGACGCCTTCGACGCCGGCGGGCGGCCCTCTTTGCCGAGCAGGTCGGCGATCGGCAGGGAATCGATTACGAACAAGCTGCGTGTGGCCCTGTCGAAGAGGAGGACCGGGTCGAGAGAATCTCCAGCTGGATCCGGGTCTGGGCTCGCGAAGCCCAGGATGAAAGGAAAGAAGGGAGGGAACTCCATGTCTCCGGCGTCAGCTAGTGATGATTCAGATGCCATTTCCGGATGCTGGATTTGGAACGCAGAGAGAGAGAGAGAGAGGAGAAGAGAGGTTTAGGTGAGGGGGGCGAAGAGGAACTGTGAGATAATAGCTATGGAGATATGATGGGAAAAGGGTTTTGAGAGGGAAGAGGGATTTTTAAGGAGACGATGGAAAGTTCGGGAAAGATCGAGAATGAATGTAAAAAGATCGCTTGTCCTAGTTGAATTTGATGATTATGATGATGAGCTGTTTGTTTATCTATATTGGGGGTGAAGGGATAAGGTAATTCTAGCATTGTTTCGGAAGGATCCAGAATCTTGACCGCTAAGACCGAAAATTGGTCTCGTTCCATAAATTGAGGTTTTGATATTGATTGGATCTAAAATTAAATTACATATTTATAATTTATATGGTCAAATTTATTTATTTTTTTTATTTTTGTGCTAGAAGTATTGGTTTGTACTCCTTCCGTTCCAACTTAAATCAACTGTTTCGATTTATGATGTTTGACTGAAGTTATTTTCAATTCAATTTATTTTAAAATTAGAGTAGAATTAAAACATAAAATTTACATATTAAAAACTATATCGAAAATTCTATAAAACAAGAGGTGACATTATTTCTAGAAAACAAGAAGTGACCCTGTAAATAGTAAGCAGATAATTTAATTTCGGATCGATGGAACAAATTAAAACTTAAATTTTGTATGGTAAATTTAATACCGAGTAAAATTTGTTGATTCCTTTGAGGTTTGGACCTTGATGGTTAGAGTGAATAGGGCAATATACCTGGTAAAATCTAATGTACAATATTTCTTGTAAATGTGAAACAAATAATTTTTCATGTGTAACGAAATAATTCTTTTTGTATATTTTTTTAATTGTATATCCTTCTTTGTATTGGTTGAAAATAGCATTCAGTTACTCGTAAATGTACATTCTTTATAAACATTGTATAGTTTTCAAACGAACATACATATATTTTATGCTCCGTAATATATATGCTTTGAGTAAATACTAAAACAAATAAATATATTAAATGAATATCTCGTTACTTGGAAATGAGTATTCGCTTAAATAAGTGACCAACTACACAATTCTTTCCTCGAGGAGATAAATGGAGCACTGGTCTCGTGCTACAAGGGAGTAAACCTGCAGCTAGATGTGATTGTTTAGGGTAAATCTGTCCCTTGTGACACAAAATAAAAGTGCAAATTGAAGAAATGTCTAAAATCCAAAATGAACTCATCAGCAAACGTAAATTGAAGTAAACGGAGCATTTTAAAAGCTCAACAATGGGATTGCATGTGCATAATTAAAACAAAAATGAATATAGATTTTACAATATACTTTGGTATAGATCAAAGTCATCAAACAGTCCAGTCCCAAAAGGGTATATTATATGCTGCTACTTATATAGTCATACAAGACAATGGAGACAATGAGAGGTGCTATGTATCTAGTCTGATATATACAAGTCAGACACTGTGGCATTCTATTCTTCTCTACCCAAAATCCCCTATACATTCTAAATACATATCTCATCATCCCATACAGTAACCTCAGCCTAATAAAAACTATTGCTGTAATTCAAGAAGCGTTCACCGACCTGTTAATAGAGATCTCTGTTCAAAACCGTTGATGTGGGGAAAGGGTTAGTCGCCACAACATAAAGCGCGTTTTTTCTCTTGTAGCTTCTGCCATAAGCACAGCATCTCTCTAGGATCTTGATAGTGTGCAACTACATAACCGTCTTTGCATCCTTCATTAAAAATTCTCTCATCTTTTTCATACCTAACATCTAGACCTTTTCTTTTCAGTTCCGCTATCCAGATCCCCATGGCGACATCTTCCAGCTTAAACATCTACATTTATAAAAAAACTCAACAATTCAATCTATATTCTAAATGAGGTGGTTGAGAATTTAAAGAGATTTATAGAATGGTTGCCTCTGTCACCTTTAGACGCCCTTTTCTGTGCATCTTGCTGACGGATTTCGCTATATCACTTGACACAACATAGCCAGGTCCGTGAGCCCAAGGAGGGTAAGCATCATCAGGCCATTCCTTGAAAACAATGGACAGATGAGTGCAAATATATGCTGACAAAAAAAAATGAAAGAATAGAAGAAAAGCACCATGGTATTATCAGAAATGCTATACCCTAATCCTAATTAACACAAGGGGAAAAAACTAATGCACCATAGTAAACATTGTAACAATTAATTCTCGAAGTTGTCAAAAGAAAAGCTTCTTGAAAACAAACTGAATATAAAACTGTTTATTGACATGTTTCTGTTTATCAGCCCATCATGAGCCAGTTTCTTTATGAAACACTAATTTGTTTGCTCCATGCTTTTGCTAACAAAAACAGTTAATGTGGGGCATGGGGTGTGATCTAGTACTCCCTCCATCCCACTATATTTGGGAATTGGGACATGACGGAGTGACATAGAAATTGAGAAAAGTAAGATTGTGTGGTTGGTATTGATGTTAAAAGGTAAAATAAACTTCAACTATTTCAGCCACAATCTCAACAATTTCAGCATCTCCAGACATTTCAACCAAAATCTTTCCTACCAAACAGGGTCTAAGAATTGCAAAATGCAATGCAACATTATGCAAAATTTTGACTATTGCAACCATTTTTAGAGCTCAACAATTCAGCCATTAACAACCATTGCAGCCACACTACGAAATTATGTTCCCACGCAGATTTTTTTAAACTATTTAGCACCACCGAATTCTCACCATCAATCTCTTATTAAAAGCAAGTACTCCGTCACTCCATGTGAAATAGCATTGAAACTTTAAGTTCCAACAATGCATTTGATAATTAAATATGAGACAAGATAGGGAGGTGAAAAATACCTCGACACTAATGTACCACTTGCTATCTGGATCTCGATGAGGATGCGAGTCTGAGTTGATAAGGCCATAAAGCAAGCCACGAGTCACACCAATCCTTTGTAAAGAAGTCAACACTTCATCCACACGAACAAAAGCATCATCATCTGTCTTCATTACAAAATTTGCTTGAACGATCTCCGTCTGCAAAATAGATGACATCAGCACACATTTTGACAAGCTCATTGACTAAGAGAGGGACAAGATTATACCCCAAACATGCATATGGCTACAGTCTTCCATGTAATTAGGCTGTAGTAGTCAACAAATGGCACCAACTGAATGTCTCCATACGTCCTAGCCTCATTCCAGAGTTCCTCATTCACCATCTGGTTCTTATGCTACAGTAGACAATACAGAATTTAACAAAAAAACATTATGATTTTGATTTGACAAATTTTAGTATAACTTCAAATCCAGCTATGTTGTACTCCCTCCGTCATGAAAACCTAGGAGGCTTTGATTTTTAAGAGATTTAAGAGGAGTGTATTTTTGTGTTGAGTTTCCAAAAATGTCCTTGGATGTGATGGGTAAAAGTAGGATTTGATAGATAGATTAATCAGTGGTGAATAGATGTAATGTGATAGGTAGGTTAAGAATTAGTAGAGGTAAAAGTCACTTTTTAATAGATATGGGAAAAGTTTTTAGGGACGGATGAAAAAAGAAAGGAGAAAGGGTTTCAGGGAATTAGCAGAAATGATACTTCCTTTGTCCAACTTTTATCATTTTTTCCTTTTTTGCCTATCCCAAATGCTAGTCGCGTACCATACATATTTGGTATAATTTATGTGGCTCAAATCAATTCGAATTTTAGAAATTCAATGTCAACCGCACAATTATAGTTTTTCTAAATTTGAATCACTCCCATATCTCAAAATTAGTAGGATGGAGTAATATACTATCAGAGTAGCAGTATATGATCAAATTTTCGTCCTCTACAGAAGATCAAAGTCACACTTATATATGTGGATGGCACTCTGTTTTTCTGACAATGATCTCTAACTACTGCCTCCGTCCCACATTAGCCTCCCAATTTATGGTTTTAATCCATCTCGAAATGTTTATCTTATACCATATTCGGCGATAATTATGTGGCGCAGAATAATTAATACATTGAATGTGAAGCTTGTGAACCACACTATCTCCTTAGTTATTCTGCTGCTTTTCTTTGTCGCAAAAGACTTTAAGACTGAGGGAGTTACTTTTTTTTATATTCATGACATGGGATGTTGAAAAGGTATAGCGGGAAGAGATTGTGTACACACAAAAAACACACTCACCATTCCAACAAAGAAACGAACTGCTACTTGTCCACTCCGCACTGCATCATACTGCATCCATGTTCGTCGAACTGCCATTCTCCGCTTAAAATTGTTTGCAGTAGAAAACACACCAATAAAGAGATCTAGATGTTTACGAGGAGAAAGTGGAGGCGCCTTCAGAGCTTCTAAGTCAATCATATGCTCTATATCTTCAGACGTAGGTAACCCACTTGCAACAACAGATATTAAATCAATATCTCCTGAAATCCTCTCTTCACTTACAAGCCATGGCTCCAAAGTCTGCAGAAATACATATCAAAAGAGAGCTTAATCTAGCATTACACTACATCAAACATGGTGGTTCAAAAAAGAAAAGGGAAGTGAGAAATTACTTCGCGAAATGCAAATGACGTTATATGTCTACCATCAACTGTCATTTGTATTCCTTCAGATCCCACCCTCAGCGTCGCAACAGAGAGCTGCCCTTGCTTGAAAGGAAAATACTTTCTATGTTTAGATCCATCCTGAACCATTGACGATTTTGTTGATACATTGATATGTCTGGCTGTCATGGTTTTACCCACCACCTCATTGCATTGATCCAAGCCATCGACTAGATAAGATTAAAAGGAGCATTCAATAAGAAAGCAGGCAAGTCCATATAAAAAAATACTTCAGGAATGTAATAAAGAATACATCTAGTAGAGCTATAGAGGCAAAAAAGATCCTACTAAAAATCTAAAAGCAAACCTTAACAGGTCAGGTGTTAAAACAAGACTTGTAGTCTAAGGATGTATAATTATATCCAGCACCCGATCAATATCATGAAGTAACTGGATCTTGTTACTCCACCTATTCTCCTCTAACATAGGTAGCGCATGGAAGCTTACTATCCATATAAGTTGGTGAAAGAGACAAAACAAACATGTGAAGAGACTGGAAAGGATAAAAATGCTAAATCCATGCCATTTGTGAGCCTGATTACTCTTTCATTTAAAGACTAAGTACACGTGTGAACTGTTGAAAATCATCGAAGAGGTAAAGATCTGTGCATTCAGAACTTTAAGGAATAAATAAATAATTCTTTTTTTTACCTTTCTTATTCTTTTCAGGAGCAGGAGATGGACAACGCTCCTCCTCGCCCCAATCATGTGCAATGGTCCAGGTGTTTTGAACAATTACAGGGTCCTCTGTTACTTTATCACCGTGCATCCTAACATTGTAATGCAAAATTACAGGAGGGTCTGGTTCTCCAGGAAGAGGTTCACCTGTTAAATCGATCCGAAAGTTACCAAGAAGGCCATTTGGAATGCCGATAAATGTGATTGAAGAACCCTGAGTAAGCCCACAAGGAAGCCGTAACTTAAATTCTTTGCCGCCCAGTTCTGTGACATTTGTTTTGCGAAGAAAATGAGGACACTGTTTTTCTTTCCTGCTCTTAAACGAACTGTCATTTGCATGAATTTTTTCCATTTCCACTGAGCTCATAAGGTTGTTCCATGCAGCAACAGCTTCCTTAACAGCATCTAGAGCATTAGGTAAGACTTGATCTTGACTGATTAAGTGTTTCCATTGGTTCCATGTAAGCAATGATTGTTGTTCCATAGTTGAAAAGTTCCTCTGATGAAACAGATCGGAGACTAAAGCTTTGGCAGATATCACCAGAGAAGCATTTTTCACACTGTTAGCAGCAGGTGGAGCCATAGCATGGATCCACTCTAGAGGGTTTGTCATATTGACGTATGGGGCATTGTTGAAGTAATTTTCCTTGAAGGGGTTTCTGATTACATAATACCCAATAAGCATAAACATTAACAAGGATGTAGCTAAAACACCGCCATACCACTTCTTCATTTCTACACAAACACCTAGAAGCTTCCAACCATTTAAACTCTAAGTTGATTACTCCAGATTTGGTGGACCAGGAGAGTCATCATTAGTACAATGATGGAACCTGGAATAGAAATTAGTAAGTCCCACTTCAAGGTACTAACTAGCAACCAATGTAGATAGCTAAGCCATGTGTGAAGTGAAGACAGTTTAAAAAAATTAACAGTTTAGTTCTTCAAAAATTATGACGAGTCCATCACTAATGTTCAACGATGTGCATGTTGATAACTTAATTTTACAATGTCTTGTGATTGGAAATGACTAGAACAATTATCTTGACCCATCACCATGTCAAGATATTCTTCTCTATCCATTTGAAAATAGCATGTGGAAATGACAATAAGGGCATATGGCATAAAAACAATAAAACTTTGCAAGTATGCTTGCTTGCATGAATTATAGTGCTAACAAATTGTAGACATTTAATGGAAAATATAAATTTTCTAGGAACTAATCCCAGCAGGTAGGGATTTAGGTGATGATGAATCGACGATCAGCCCAGAATTTAATTGCCTATTTTATGGGCTTTGCTGATGACAGGTATGATTAATTTAATGGCCTACTTTACAAGTAAATAAAATAAAATAAAATAATAAGATCCAGTGTTTCTACATTTGAAAAATAGAGTAGAAAGATGAACAGTGAGGTATGGTTTGAATCAATGCTCTTGTTTGCATTTGCATTTTGCAGCAAATTACCAAAAATAAATTTGAAAGCAGTAGATATAACATCATATTAGTGAAGAGTTTCTGGTGATCGAAAGCCAAGTGAAGGCTGTAAATACTCTTTGAATACTACAAGCAAACACAAAAACGTTAAACAAACATATATCCCAGCAACAAAATTATGGTATATTGAGTTACTGCATCAACAAACTGTTAATGTCCTTAGAGGTGTTAGTTAGAGCAAGAAATTAATCAATGGATAGTACAAACCAATTGGTCAAGTCAACATGCTCTACAATAATCAGTACTCAAGAGCAGATTACTACGACTCTGTACCTCAATATAGATCTTCAGCATCAAAATAAAAGCGAGGAAGAGAACCATAAATCCCCAGTGTCTCTCTTAATAGCTAAAATCCTGAATAAGTTCCTTCTCAAATCAAAACAGCAGGCATTGAAGTAGTATATTTAAACGAATTTTCAGTTTTCATCAGCGCTGACCAGACTAGTCAAAAATAATAATAATTCAAACATCAATAAAAGGTCGGTTACTTATCGAATGGCGATGCAATCATAGAGATCAAACAAAAACAAAAATCAAATTCAACAAGAGCAATGACGCGAAATAAGACATAACGATTAATTAAATTCTGGAAAATCCCTAGAAGTACAGCCGTACACATTCATCGTGATTTTTCAAGTTTCAACTGCTGCTTGAAGCTTGAAAATCAAGCTGAACTTCGAATACGTATAGAGCAACAGTTCAATACTTCAATGGCGTGTATATGAAGCGAGGAACACGCATTTTCTTACCTTTTTTTGCCTATTGCGGGGAGAAGAGTTCGGTTCAGAAACTGAGAGGGACGGAGGAGCGGACGATGAATGTATGTGCGCAGACAGCTTGACTGGACCGGAGACTGGACTTCAAGTCGCTTACAAGTCTTCGTTGAAATGCGAACTGGGCATTCGAAATCTGGGAATCTGTTGAGAGGGGAAAGGGAGACGCAGTTGAAGGCGCAATTTACGGCTAAGTTAAAAAAAATGGAGTCATGTCTTTCTTTGAAGGAAGTATTTCCAAAAATAAAAATAAAAGTTGATCTACCCCTCCAACTCATATCACATTTTATTTCCAAAAAAAAATATGGAGTCATGCCTTTTTTATATTATTCAAAAAATGTTACCTTTTATTTTGCACTAAATCTTTTTTTAATATTATTATTTTTTTCAACTAGAATTTTAACTCGTGTGACGCACGAAGTTAAACCAAATGTTTTTGTTTCTGTAATTTTTAAAGATCTGCAATTTTGAATTCTAATTTTTAAAATGCATTTTGTTAGAAAAAAGTATTTTTTTCCTTTTTGGTACAAGAAAGTACGGAGTGTTTTTTAAATACATCTATTTTTGAAAAAAAAATAAGTAAAATAATTTTTATTAATTAAAATACGTCTTTGAAAAAAGTGTAAGAAGTGAAAAAATAATGACTTGCCACTGCAGGATATGTCATTCCACTCATTTGTCACACGCTGAATGAATTATTTTTTATTAGTTAAAACATTTCATATTTTTGCCTCACACCATAGCACATGTTCTAATTTTTAATACCTGTTTTTAATTTTTAGTACATGTGCATCATTGTTAAGACCATAATTTTTATTTCAAAAGATATTATATCTAATAATTAAAAAATATTCATATTCTTCATACCAAACATTTATAATAAGATTTAAGAATATCCTAATAAATAAAACGACATTTCAATTCAAAATATAGTTTAAAAAATGTTAAAATTTTTACTCCGTAGAATCTATATAAGTCCACACAAATCACAAGATTAATATTAGTTTAGAAAAAAATGAAGTGATCAAGTTAGCGTGAAGTGTTAAGTTGTCATACATATTGTTAAGTATCTTTCAAGTTAGCACCGTAATTATTTATATGTGATATCTTAGTAAGCTTGAAAAAACAATCAGGCGGTAGTCTTTTTACGTTAGCATTTTCAAAATTTATATACATCATTAAAATTTTATCCAAAATACTAACAATAATCAAACATGGTGTTCCCAAACAAGGTGATCTTCCTTTAGTAGATGGAACGCGCTACACTTCTTGGCTCCAAATACAAACAAAGAATATAATAAATAGACTGGATGGGCTGATTAAATCGACTCATGATACACCCACCAACACAAAATTCAAGAACAATAAGGCTTCATTGAACCATCAAACATCTATCACTTACAAATACGTTTTTTTATTACAATTTTTTTATTTGTTACTTTTTCTGGGAAAACATAAACCCTAATAGGGGATCATTCCCGCGGTAATATTTGACAATGACATCCCAAGCTTGTAATAAGCAAATTAAACATTAAAAATTATTTGTCACTAGAATGATGGGAATTTAATGTTGGAAGCACAACTTCCTCTGGGGAAAACTGGGCATGTGATGAGTTCAGAAGCTGAGGAATCGACACAAACGTAAACTTGGTATAACTGGTTGTTTCCATCTTCATCACGGTTGCATTCTATCCAAGCTTCATTTCCAATGGCATTTTCAATTGCTATCTTTATGTCGGCCAAACTGTAAAAACTTCCATCCGGCTCTATCCCTAAAAACATGATATATCTCTTGTCACAGTATGTAATGAAAGAAAATATAATTTGATTCATTATATGAAAAGTAAGTAATTGTGGCTTTAATTTCAAGACAGAGAGTAAGTTAATATACCTGCACTCCGAAGAGCCTGGAGCAAGTCAATTTGATTCTTGAGGTTCAAAGCAGTTTGAAAGTAAGCGTGCTCGTTGAGAACAGACTCTGAACACGTACCGTGTTTAACCCATTCGTGTGACCAGAATGACGATCCGCTATTGCTTGGACAAGACAACGTCGCCCATTCTTCGTGCATTCTGCTCATTAGGTCTGAGATCTATGTACATACATTCGTTCAGAGGTTCAAAAAAGAAAAGGAGAGTCAAGTAATGATTATGATTTTGATACAATAATTCAATATTGGATCCTAGTTACTCAATTAGATCATAAAACACTTTGGGTCAAGCAACATAACTTAAAACATCAAGATACAAAAAAATGGGATTTATATTCAATATTTGATTGTTGAAGAAGAATACAGGGAAGAGAACCTTGGATTCATCGTAAGGATTGGTAGAATCGCAGTTGGAAGGGTAAGAGCCGTCATTGTTATTAGGCCATAGTCCATGGATGCCAAAGTCTGATTTTGGCTTCCCTGTGGTTGGATAACAACAACTCTTTTTGGTGTCACAATAAGATCCTGGCCACTGCATACACAAAATAATGCCATTAAGATATCACTGCCAATGAAAAGTTTAAATTTGTGACTGAAGGACGAAAATAACTTTATATTCCAACATGTCACTCAATTTGGTCGAGTATATAATAAAGAATGATGCTAGAATCACATATAATTTAGACACAAACAACACAAATTTGCCATTTGTGTACTTTTCCAAATATATAAAATATTTTTTAAAATTTAAAAACCAAAAAATTAAAAACAGAATTGATCGACACATTTGTGTAATTTGCATCTAAGTTATTTGTGACTCTAGCATCACACTATAATAAAACTTTGATACCGTGTTAAAAAATCAATTCTACCAGAAAGTCAAACTTACAATTACTCTACTCCTTCTAGATTTAACCTTCTTGTTTTGATTTTTCTTCTTTTTTTGAAATGTTTAAAAAAGGGTGACTTTGTATAGATTTACCCAAAATACCCTTACTAAAAATGTTTAAACATGAAAATAGAAAGATTAAATCCGGACGGAGAAAAAAAGAAGGGTATTTTTGTCCAAACACGCACACACACATATTTGAGAAATAGAAAGATTGAATCCAGATGAAAAAAAGGAAAAAATGGGAAATTAAATACGGAGAGAGGGAGTATATATCAAAATTTTTTAAATATTCTAATAGAAAACACTAAATATTGTGCAATATTAGGAGTATTAATTATAGGAACCTGTTGAACGAAGTAGAAGAAATCGTAAGCTTGAGTGATGGAGAGGAGCGAGAAACAATGAGTGATCAACAACAGCTCTATCAATAATGCTTTTGAGCTTTGATGATGATGATGATGATGATGAGAGTTCTTCATTGTGAGTGCCTTGATTAATTACTATAACGCCTCAGCTTAATAGTTCTGTATTTGTTATGGTTTGAATTAAATTATTTATAGGATGATGATTGAAGATGTGAACATGCCGGCCAAGAAAGATGGACGGAGGAGTGCGTGTGAAATAATGGATGTTTGTACGTTATATTTTACTTTCTTCCTTAGCTTCTACAATTAATACTCTCTCTCCCTCTTAAAAAAAATGTTCTTACCAGTTACTATTCACGTAGTCAAATTTTAATCACTTTCTTTGTTTATCTCCGTTAGTTATTTGATAAAATAATATATATAGTCTTCTCACCTCTTGTTTTGTAAAACTTTTGATGTAGTTTTTAAGTTTATAAATTTTATACTTATAATCAAATAAGTTAAGTTAAAAATAAGGTCAATCAGACTTGGTAAACAGAAATAAGAAGAACACTTTAGGATATATAGAGGGAGTATTGTTCTAGTTTAACTCTTTTGGTGATCGAAATTGTCACACTATTTTATCATAAATTGTGAAAGATGTATATTTAATTATATAATTTAATTTATTTTAAAAAATAAGTTTCATATATTGAATTTGTATAGTACTCCGTATTTATGTATTTAAGATTATATATCCGAGTAATAATTTTGGGATGGAGGGAGTATTACGGAGTATATTAGTTGGAGTGTCTATCTTTGCTTCTAAATGGTGGATGTGCCAACCAGCTGCAACCTCATCTATTACAATAACTTCAATATATCCAGTACGGATTCTCTCATTTGATGGGACTCTAATTTCAATAATAAATTTTAGTCAAATTTGCTACATATAGGGTAGAGTATAAATTAGCCTAATTAGGTAACACTTTTCCTTATATAGTACGGAGTACTTAATATTTAATACTCTATCGGTCCTAAAATTAATTTCTCAGTTTAATTTTTGTATTTAATTTTTTTGAATTTTGACCACATATTATAGAACAAATACATTGAATTTTCATTTAAATTTAATACCAATACATCCATTTTGAAACATAGTTTTGAAATATTTAATTTTTATAATATTTATTTGTACTTCATATACAAATAAGGATATTAATGGTCAAAGTATTACATTGAAATCACGGAAGTCATATGAGAAATTAAATTTAAGATACAGCTGAAAGTATCTTTTACTCTCTAAATAACATTTAATTTTTAATTAATTAAAGAGAAAAAGACTAAAGTAGGAGTAAAACATTAAAATATACTAAAATAGAAGTTTCATGTTTGATTCTCGAAATTGAAGTTAAAATACATTTACAATGCCAATTATTACCATTTAAATTACCAAAAACTATTGTGAAATGTCCATATTACCACAGTACAATTGTACAAACACATATTTTGGAGATAAAAACATAAATTCTTAGTTTAATACTTTCTTTATATTACAGAGCTAAAGATTGTGAAATTTGCACTAAATAGGACTAAAACATAATGACTTTCCTAATGTAGGACTTAAACTTTTTTATTCCCTAAATAGGACTTAATAATGACCTCATGGGAGGAATAATGTCCAGTAATGCTAGATATTTACTTGATAATGACTACTTGTTAATGACCAAAAGTCCTACATTGGGAAATAAAAACATATGGTCCTATATTGGGAAAGTCGTTATGTTTTAGTCCTATTTAGGTAAATTTCTCCTAAAGATTTTGGTACTCGTGAAATGCTACTCCGTATTATAAGATTAAACAGATTTTACATTTGAGAGTTACTAAAAAAATACTACTGCATAATCCGTATTAACGGGTACCCAGTATTAGTTACTTTCCAAAAATAGAGAATAGGTAGCAGTTTTCCTATTATAGTACTGTACTTAATACGAGTATTTTTCTTGAGAGAGTACTTAATACTTTAAATAAGATTCCTTTAAAATATACTAATTTTTAACTTTTTATCAATTCATTACTATTAATGTGTACGTATATATCAAAGTATCTTTAAATTTGGATTATGTTCTACCTCTATCCAAAAAGATCTTTAAATTTGATTTTTCACGAATACTAATTTTACACCATAGCTATGGATTTTGTTCTTCACAATTTTTCTCTATTAGTATTATTCTTATTTTTTTATATTTTGGGTGGTAATTTTAATTTATTTGTTATTGTGACTTTTTTAAATCAATGAAACTATATTGTATTAATTAGATATTTCTCTTTAGGTTATTTTTAAAACTAATTACAGAGAAGTTAAAGTATGGATGTGCAGTAAGAAATATCTATAAAAAGATTAACAGTATTTCACTTTATATTATTCTTAAAGTTAATTACACAGTATTTTACTTTATATTATTTTTAAAATTAAAAAATTAATTATTTATAGAATTAATTACCACAATAATTAAAATTAACTACAGAGAAGAAAATGTCTATAAAAAGATTCGAATCTAATGACTTTGCATTTTGATCCATCACTTATAAAAAGTAAGTCCACGTTTTGGTTGAGGAAATTGCTTTGGATATTACTTGTCTGTAATTATAATCTACTCACTCTATAAGGTATATACTCGGTATATTAAGTAGAATTTATTTTTTCCATATTTTAATTTAAAATTGCCAAGTTATTAAAGTCATAAATGGTGACAGATGATTTCAAAAAAAAATTCCAAGTATACCTACCACGTGACACAATTTCAGAAGCCCGACTCTCAAATTTTTATATAAAAAGATAAAGATTCTTAAAAAACTATAGTTACACTCTTTATATAAGACATATACTATATATTTTGATTACATTGCCCTATCATTTAAGTCATCAATAGGTGACATATGATTCATTAAAATTTTGCCAAGTGGACTCGCCACTTGTCACGATTTTAAAAGTTTAACTCTCAAATTTTATATATAAAGATAAATATTTTATTTACAAATTGATAGAAAAATAAAAGATATAAATTAAATTGTTCAAAAGTATATCAAAAGTTTTACAAAAACAAGATGCGACAAGAATACTTTATCAAGTGATCACCGAAAACAAGCAAACAAACAATATCTCCTCATTCTCTCATACAATCCTGTAGAAAATAAGAGAGAAAATATTTCTATATATTGAATTGGCTTGTGAATACAAATGTCTAATCCTCTTTATATAAGTAAACTTCTATTCCTACCATATTTCTATTCCTACTAAAACTATAAATAAACAAACTAGGAAAGATACTAAATCGAATCCCAAAGGGATTCAGTTTCCTTCTTCGATCCAGCTTCCTTCTTCTATCGCCAACACCCCCCTCAAGCTGAAGCGTGGGAGTTCAACATGCCTAGCTTGGACATCAAAAGGTTGAACAAAGCTTGAGGAAGCCGCTGCCATTGTTGTCCAAGTGTCATCTAGACACTTCGGGTTTTTTTTTTCAACGGAGACGCCAAGCTTTTCGAATCCGCCAAAAAATCAGTCGAGTAAAGGAACGCCATTCTTTTCGAACCTTCACCATATTCGAACAAACAGGGGAACGCCATTCTTTTCGAACACCCTGAACGCTGACTTTTTTATTGCCTGCAAAGGAAAGAGTTGTCTGTCTCTATATAACAACTCTTCTCGGACAACTTCTTCGAAATTGATGGTTGGGCGGGATTCCTCGACAACAATGTTCTTCGTTGAAGGAGCTAGTTCATGATATTCTTTAGTGAGGGAGAACCGTCAAAGAAAATAAAAAATTACAATATCCCGCCGGTAGGCATCGAATTGTGTATGCCCACCGGCAGGGAGGAAGCGTGTTTGAGGTCTCAAGAATTCAAAACTTGCTCTGATACCATGTAGAAAATAAGAGAGAAAATATTTCTGTATATTGAATTGGCTTGTGAATACAAAGGTCTAACCCTCTTTATATAGGAAGAGAGTAAAGCATATAACTAAACTTCTATTCCTACCATATTTCTATTCCTACTAAAACAAGAAATAAACAAACTAGGAAAGATACTAAATCGAATCCCAAAGGGATTCAGTTTCCTTCTTCGATCCAGCTTCCTTCTTCTATCGCCAACAAATCCTTTATTCTTTCTCATATTTCATATCTTTCTCTCTTATTTTTTTAAATTTTTATCATGAATCCCTTCGGTCCTCCATCTGGTCCTGTATCCGGTCTTGAGCTAAACGAGTATGCGATAGGCTTTACCCGAGACCAACTCACTTCCAAATGGGGCAAGACATACAAAAGAGCCCAACAATTTATCGAAGTGTACGAGGAATGCGCTCGGTTCCGGAAGAGCAGGACGAACGATGCCGATATTTTGCGTCAAGCCACGTACAAGTATCAAGACGACGGACACCAAGGTAAAGTCTCTGTTGATTTGTAGAGAGTTTTAAGCCGTCAACCTAAACGACTCCGATGATGAGGACTCCATTCCACGGCTGATCGGAAGAAAGAAGGAAAAATCAACTGGCTCGGATTCTCAGTCCGGCTCTATTTCCTCTCATGACGATATCAACTTGCAAATGGTCAAACAAATGCGGTTGTTTAATCTTAGGGAAGAAGAGAGGGAGAAATAGAGGACAAAGAAGTAGGAGCTCGAAACAATTGTAACTGACCTTGATAGGTTAACACAATTTAAACATATGCATTACGAGAAAAGACAAAACGAGATCAAGACGAAATATAATATGCTTCATTTTTTTAATTAATGCAATTTTTCCAAATATAAATTTTTTATTTAATGAATTATTTTCGTTTAAATTTAACTAATTAATGAAACCTTGTAAATTTACTTTTACAAAGTGTGTATTAAAAAATAAAAAAAAATATTTCAAGCTTCAATTTGAAATTCTGGATTTGAAACTCATTTCGAGTGAAACTATGAGATAAGATAAGATGGTGTTAAAAATGTATTTCCAATACTCTAAACATGTGCATGGGAGATTGGGAGATGCTCTTTTATTTTATTTTTGAGAGATCTTAACCCTTTTTTTTTCATAAAAAGGTGCGAGGCGCAAGACGTCCAAAATGGCATGGGCAATAGAGAGCAGAAAGAAACAGAGCCGTCAATTATGAACATTGCTAATAGGTCGGTCGGTGGCTTATTATTGCTGCACCAAAATGTATATTCATATACAGAGAATCATCGTCGGCATTGCGTCAAACTCGCGATTTCATTCCATTAAAGCTTCCCAATCCCCTCCTTTTCAGGCTCATTTTCATTTCTCCCGCTTCCGGCACCATTTCCAGCTTAATTCGACTTGAATTTTCAATTCAGAGTTCCTGAATTTCCCTGATCACGCTGCACCGGCCGCCTGATCGGTGGAAATTTCATGTCTGTCGATATATCCCGATGTATATCCATTAACTCTCTTCCCTTTCCCCTTTATTTTCTTCTTGATTCGAGAGAGAGAGAGATAGAAACACATACATTGGGAGGAGGCAGGAGGAGATCCAACTGTTTAGTTTTTCTTGTCTTTGTTTTTATTATATGAAATTGCAAATCTGAATGAAAATTGTACCGCGGTATTGGTGTTAGTATTTTTGTTAGATATATTGGGGGAAATGGGGGAGCATTTGGTGGTGTATGTGGACGGCGGGCTAGGGAAGCCAGAGGACGAAGCAGGGTCTGGGTCTAGCCAGCAGAGAGTTGAGGAGGCCAACCCTAACGAAAAGAGGCTGGAGATGGCGAGCGCCTCTTCGTTTGCTCTTGTTGGGGAGAAGGAAGAGATTGAGGATGAGGAGGCACCTCTGATTGGAATTGCGGAGTGCCGCATCTGCCAGGAGGAGGAGTCTGTCAACAACATGGAAACTCCCTGCGCTTGCAGTGGCAGTCTCAAGGTCAGTGCCCTGGTTGGTTAATTGTTCTTACTCTTAATATATTATTTTTTTTTTTAAAAAAAAAATAAAATTCTGTCACTATATTTATATATTTGGATAGAGTTTTTTTGCGCCATTTACCCCTTGACTTTTCAAAAATTGTATGGATTTACCCATGAATTTTAAAAATTGCACCAATGCCCCCATGAACTTTTAAAAATGTTCACCAATAATCTATCTGAATTCGGAGTGCCTTAATTAAGCACTCATTGATATACGTGTTGGAGTTTGATGAAGAGGTTGATCGATCGATGACGAGCTTTATCAACGGATATCCATCCTCCGAATTTGGTTACTAACGACTAAATCGAGAATAATTATCTAGGGTTTAGAGAGATTGAAAATATACTAGAAGATAATGTTTGGGAAGGGCATGTTGCAGAACTTACGTGTGATATATGACTTTAGATGAACCCGCACTTGCACTGGATGAGCGTGTGATTAACAGACTCCCAAAACTGTCCTAGAGGGACCATTGGTGCAAAATTTTTAAAAATTCAGGAGGCATTGGTGTAATTTTTAAAGTTCAGGGGGAATCCTTGCAATTTTTTAAAAAATCAGGAGTAAATGGCGCAAAAAACTCTGATACAATTCTTGAATTTGCCCAGACGACATTGAATGGTTCTTGCATGTGAATTGTCTTCATTGTTCCTGGGTTGGGGCAATAAGAACATCATATTGCTGTTGTTCTAAAGAATCATCTTTGTACATAGATCTAATCCGGCAAGTCTCTGATTAGCTCGGTGATTTAGCCACCGTTCAGTTATATCTCGATTTTCAACAACATACTCCGTATATGCTAATAATCATGACTCCTTTTAATTACAGTACTGATGATTTTCTATGAGATAGCTTATTACAGCATTAATTATTCCCTTCTCTATTTTCCTTATTCATTTTCATGCCTGGATGAAGTGTCTAAGGGGGGATGTTTTCAATGCAGTATGCTCACAGAAAATGTGTTCAACACTGGTGCAATGAGAAGGGGGACACTACATGCGAGATCTGTCACCAGGTACTAGCTAATATGTTCAATTATTGAATGGTCTTGTGTTTTGTGAGGCTAAGAAAACTTTTTTCACATTCAATAAACTCTCACAATTATCTAATATTTGAAATCAGCGGTTGGGATTTGGGAAGGACGAAAAGTTTACTGGCTTCTCTAACAAAGAACTTCCAGCATTTGTTTGTGTTTAGAATAACCTTTTGTTATCTTACTTTTATATCGACTTGGGAAGAAAAGATGATGTATTAGTGCTAATGTGCAAGGATGGAAAATGATGCATAAACTTCTTACATCAATATGCCTTGACATTTGTTGAACCTTCTTTGACTCATAAATATAATTCTTCTTATGTACACTGTTCTCACTCTTGACCCTCTATTTCATGATCGCGAGAGAATCAATTGTATCCAGATTTCATTTATTAAATAAATTCTTTAGTGTTCACTTCATTTTTTATTGGTGAAATTAATACATTTATTTTAAGCATGTGAACTTTTACTATACTTAAGTTTAGTTTGTCATTTGTTCAAATTGACTATGTAAATGTGTTAAATGGACCATATTTGTAGGCCTGGGGAAATATTCTTTATATAGGGTAATGACTGGAATTTGACATTCTTTTGGTGTATATAGCTACTAAAGTTAACATTTGGTCCTCCTAGTTTTCATTGATTGACACCCAGCCCAACCCTTCACAGTTATTCATAATCTGTTGCTAATTCTACCTTTCTGAGTATGCAGCCTTACCAGCCTGGTTATACTGCCCCTCCTCAAGCTCAGCCCGAAGACTCAATCATTGATATTGGGTAAGATCAATTTTTGGGTACTATATGGTGCAATTTCCTTTTGTTTTTTTCCTACCTGGAGATGATTCTATTGGCACATAATAGCTCAATTTAGTTGACATGCATAACATGTGTTAGGGTGTCCCACATGGGTATATTTTAGTAAAATTGACGAGTTAATAAGATTTTGAGTTGAACTAGCCAATCAATTGGACTCAACCTTTCAGTGTGATACAACCCATATGTCCTATGGCCTATTCGAGTGACTCCCAGCCCAGTCTTGATTTCTACCTGCATGTATGGTTGGCTTATTGGAATCTTAAAGCCACTTTATGTCCTTAAACTGGCATTGATTTATCTTGTACATGAAGTTCTTAAAGTATAACATATTCAAGTCTAGCTCTGCAGTTTTAATGATGTGTATTTTCTTCCAATGGGTGACCAGGGGAGGGTGGCAAATCTCTGGTATGCCTCTGGATCTGCATGACCATCGTTTTTTGGCACTTGCGGAGGCTGAACGCCAAATTTTGGAAGCTGAATATGACGATTATAATGCTGCAAACGCAAGTGGTGCTGCCTTCTGCCGCTCTGCTGCCCTAATTGTGAGCCCCTACCAATTTGCTACAAGAAGTGTTGTGCTTTTTCAATATTATCTTCAATTCCCTTGTACTTATATTAATGCCATAAGTTTTAAAACAATGGCAGTTAATGGCTCTTCTGCTATTGCGGCATGCTATGAGTGTGACAGATGGTAATGGTGGCGAGGAAGACGACCCATCTGCTATTTTCTCTGTAAGTTCATTCCCACCCAAACTGCAGCAGCAGCTAAAGGGACGATTTTGAAACTACGAAGTCTAATCGCTTGTGTTTTTGCAGCTTTTCTTGCTAAGGATGGTTGGGTTTCTCTTGCCTTGCTACATCATGGTCTGGGCCATCAGCATTTTGCAACAGCGAAGGCAAAGAGAGGTTAAAATTTCTATTACTGCTTTAGAGCCTGTTTCGGATGCCTTGTGCTAAACACACTTTCCTAACTACGCACTGTGGGGGTTTTTTTTCGAACAATAAAATGCACATATTCATTTCTTGCCAAACGATTCTCTTGCCTTATAAAAAGCTAAATGCAAATCACTCGTTCCTTGAAAATATAGTCACCCCATAGGCAGGCAGTCTTAGATATAACCACCATTTTGTCCATCCTTTTCATTCTAACTTTTAAACCGCGGCTGCAGGAGGCGGCAGCACTGGCGGCCGCAACACAGTTTGCATTTGTAGTTCAATCGGCACAGCGAAATGGAATGCAATTCACCATAGCTTCAGCCACACCCGCAGTGCCGGTAGCCCAAGAACGTTTATAACGTGTCATACCACCAAAGAATGTCGCGGTCGTGCGGCGTCTGAGATGTTCATACGGTACAGTGTAAATGTGTAATGGTGTATGTATATTTTGATTGGAGAGTTACGTTCACAAGAGGTGTAAAAAGAATGTATCTATACAAAGCAATTAATTTCTTTTATCCATGCTGTAAATAACAATGTTGATATATAAAGAAATTATTTCGCTCTCTCATGTACATATATTTGAACATATAACTTCCAGCAGTCTTATAGGATTTCTGATGGAAATTCTCATGTGTACGTAAGGTGCACATAAACATTTTCTTATGCAAGTAATAAACATTTATTTAATACCAACATAAACATTTACTTAATTTAGTGGAGTATTTTTTTTAAAAAATATGTTTTATAAAAGGTCACGTGCACTCAAAGTGGACGGTAGAGTCTCTTATAAATGATTCCTCCTGTCCCAAATTATAAATGATTCCTCATGCCCCCAACTATTTGTATGTCTGCGTGTTCGCATCTGTTTATTATATATGGTGTATGTTTTCCTTTCCTTTCATTTTCTTACAAGTTGTGTTTCAAACACAATCTCATCGACATCATCCTTTAAAAGAGAAACAATGTCCTTTGTGACATCGTGTGGCCGCTGTTATTGCGTTGAGATGGTCTGACACCATTGTTGTTAAAATTATTTCCACTACATTTAGTGCTATTTTTGAAATTGTTGCATTTGAAATGCATTCGGCGCTTGACCATACCCGGAAATGCAGAAGAAGTGGGATGGCGTGGGTTGTCGGGCTAGATCAACGTGCACAAGTAGTGTGAAAAACACTAAAATAGAATGTAGTATTGTAAAATTTTGAGGAATAGTATTTTGACTTTTACATTCCATGAACGTTGAATATATATAGAAATTAACATACCAATGGGCCAAGTAAATGGGCCTTTACAAAACAAACAAAACTAGTTATGAAATATACTCCATTACTCCTCTTTAACTTGGTGCATGAATGTCTAGAATGCCCAACGTAGATAATAAAAATTGAAATAGCAGGCATGCCAACACTTTTGTAAAAATATCCGCAATTTGGAGATCAAACATATTGGGGCGTAGGCCGTGACTACGTGTTGGCCGAGAAAACATACACAAACAATATGACAGTCAATATCAACATGTTTGGAGTGCTCGTGAAAAACTAGACTTACAACAATGAATAGAGCAGACTTATTGTCACAATATAATTTATGGAATGAAAACACAAGGGACATAAAGTGCAGTGAGTAAACCATGGATTCAACAAATTTCAGCACACGCATTGGCCATGGCACAATATTCTACTTTGCCATAGGTAAACCACCCAACATATTAAAATCACAGTGACAGATCTGCAAGTAAAAGGGAAACTAAATGTTTGATTTTACAAGACAGGTAATGCATTTTACAATGTTTTATTTAATTACATAAATATCACCACGATTTTTCTATTTTTTCTTATTTTTATGGCTATTAGATCTCAAATTCTAAAGCACCACTTGCATTCTTAATTCTTTAATAAGATCTCATTCTCACCCATATATATATATATATATATATATGTATGTATGTATGTATGTATGTATGTATGTATGTATGTGTGTGTGTGTCTATATATATATATATATATATATATATATATATATATATATATATGGGCTGGTTCCCGTGAGAATGCACTTTGTGAAGAGAAATGAGAATAAAATCTAGCCGTCGGATCTGATGCATCGTGCGGCTCAGATTGCATCCTGCGCTCAGATTTTGAGATAATGCATTTTCGAAGGTTTATGGTGCATTTCGACGTGATGCATTTTCGCACCATTTTGGTGCATCTAATTTTGATGAAATCTTGACCCTTAGATCTCACAATCTAAAGCACCAGATTCATTCTCATTTCTTTCTATATATATATATATATATATATATATATATATATATATATATATATATATATATATATATATATATATATATATATATATATATATATAGGGGCTGGTTCCCGTGAGAATGCACCTTGTGGAGAGAAATGAGAATAAAATCTAGCCGTCGGATCTGATGCATCGTGCGGCTCAGATTGCATCCTGCGCTCAGGTTTTGAGATAGTGCATTTTCGAAGGTTTATGGTGCATCTCGACGTGATGCATTTTCGCACCATTTTGGTGCATCTAATTTTGATGAAATCTTGACCCTTAGATCTCACAATCTAAAGCACCAGATTCATTCTCATTTCTCTCATAAGATTGCATTCTCACCAGAACCAATATATATATATATATATATATATATATATATATATATATATATATATATATATATATGTTGAATGTAGCTCTAGATTGGCTTGCGCAATTATAATTGACTTTAAAGACAAAATTTTTGACTTTATGCTTACGAGGTGTAATTGACGTAGGTGGGGGATGAGTTTGGGTCGGGACATGGCGGGGGGTTAGGGGGTAGGAATTATCAACTTTATGAACGGAGCTTCGTAGGGGGGCAGTGGCTTCCGTGGCTACTGGAATCCAGTGGCCATGGAACGGGGCCTTTATTTTTGACCGTATAATGCCTAAATAGGAATCTTCCTACATTAGAATATTTTTGGCCCTATAATGCCTAAATAAGTAAATAGGAGTCTTCCTCCATTAGAATATTTTTGGCGGTATAATGCTCAAGTGGGAATCTTCCTCCATTACCGTAAAAAAAGAAATAGGAATCTTCATCCATTAGAATCTACGGAGTAGAACATTTGACGGGGGAATCTTTTGAAAATGTCACTCCCACTCAGCGATTTATTGGGAGCAGTGCAATTCAGGACTTGAAAGTCCAGCACTTTCATTTTTTATCTGGTCTACGACTTTTAGGGTGTTTTATGAAGAAAGAATTAAGCAGAGATGGAAGAGTTTAGTGGGATAGAACGAACATCCTTTTTTGTTTGGATGGAAATATTAGTGGCAAACAATTTCAGCCATCATCGTCATTATTCTGTGTGCTATGATCCATCAGCCCTTCATATATCTTCACCAAAACACTTCATCTTTTATTTTTTTCTTTCACTAAAAGCTTTTATTTTCTATTAAAAAACCATTTTGACCCTTACTTTTTCTTACTCTACTCTTAACATATTCACATCATACTTTTCCACTAATAAACTATCCATCACATCTTATCTTTATCTATCACATTAAGTATAATTTAACCAATCCTTGTTTTGGCATTTGGTCAAATTAGAAAGTATTTTCTCAAACGGAGGGAGTAAGGGGCTGTTTGTTTCAGCCTCTTAATGGTTCAGATGTCTAAATGGTTCAGCACTTAATGGTTCAGACTGTTTGTTTCAGCCTCTTAATGGTTCAGATGTCTGAATGGTTAAGAGATTTGCCTCTGAATGGTTAAGTATTTTACAGAGTCTGAATAGTTAAGACCTCTTATCTGAATTGATCAGACATTTGCCTCTGAATAGTTAAGCAATATACTAGCTCTTAATGGTTCAGACCTCTTACTGGTTCATCACTTAATGATTCAGACCTCTTACTGGTTCAGCACTTACCGATTCAGAAGTTGCCAAACAGCCCCTAACTCTTACTTTTTCTTACAATATTACTCCGTATTAAACAGATATTTAATCCACATTAAAATTAAAATGAATCACATTATAATTTTGAATTTTAATGAGAATACATATAAAGACGGGCCAGGCACGGCTCCGTTGCCACTGCACTACGATGCCATTAGGATTTTGGGTACTTACGGTACTCCATTCGCAAAATTTATGACTTCTATCCTCCAAAGTCTAACAACCCGATAAATCCCTACCCCTGCCTGATTTGAACCCACAATTGAACGCCCAAGTTTACTTGACTTTGGGGTATTGAATTGGACCCCACAATTTTAATGGAAATATAAAGATGAAAATGATTATGTTGCCATTGCATGCACTGCGGTGGCATTGAGATTTTGAAACACGTTTGGAGTCCCGTTTACAAAATTAATGGTTCTTAGCTTATCCATTTTAACCCTTGGTAAATCCCCCCACCTCCACTCATTTCCGACATGATCCTGCCAACTTCAATTGCATCCTCTAAAAATAAGGATATAAGGGCATCTCCAATGCATCATTTAAAATAGCTAAAAAATACTCCTTCCGTCCACAAATAAATTTTACGTTCACTATTCACAGAGTTAAACTTTATTCACTTTGTTGGCCTATTTTCGTCACCCATTTGATAAAATAATATAGTCATGTCACCTCTAGTTTTATAGATCTTTTGATATACTTCGTAGTTTTTTAATATGTAATTTTTATTTTTCAATTCTACACCATTTTTCATATAAAATGATTTGAAAATAACTTCAGTCAAACATCGTAACACGTAATATAAAGTTTATTTGTGGACGGAGAGAGTATTTAATAACTGACACTGTAGCTTTTTGAAGCCCTTTATGTGCTCCAACGGGTAATTCATAATTCGGAGGGCAAGCTATTTGTCAGACTCCATCTTTCATAAATAGAAGTTCACTGTTGGTCTTCTATTATTAAAAAATTATAAAATAATGGGATACAATAGGTGATTCAGTGTGATGGGCCCCAAGTACCCAACTGCAATCAAGGAAATGGAAACACGTTTGAGGAGAGAGAAATAAAAAGTAAAACAACCAATAAAATATAGAAATATGCATGATCCCATTGGAGTGTGAGAATAAAAATCAATTGCTATAACACTCTAAATCATCTATTTGATCCGTCCCTGAGTGTTTGTCCACTTTTGACTTTTGGAACTGTTCATCTAAGCACTTAGACTCATCAAATTCTCTCAATGTGTAAGCTTAAAAATAGTCATGTGTGATCTTGTTTGATTCGTCTTAACATATAGATTATTAATATATAATTTTTATAATTTTTTAATATACAAATTACAAGATAAAATGGATTAAAGAAGTGTATTGAATGGTGTGCAAAAATGAAAGTGGACAAACACTCAGAGACGGAAGGAGTAATTTCTAATCTAGTGACCAGATAAAAAATGCATCACCCAACATGTTAGGTACAAACCACCTCCCACACTAAGAGAATGGAGAAGAGTAAATTATATAGATTGCTTCAAACAAAGAATATTAGTATGCGGTCTTTTGTTTGATGTCCAAAAATAAATTTATAAAGATTTGGCACAAAACAGGCAATAGAATACTAATACGGGCTCGAGGTGAGAGTACGCGAGGTCCCAACATGTGGGGTCAGAACTTAAGTTTGGAGCAGCCGAGCAGGCATGAGTGGTTGGCTGTGTTGTGCGGAATTCTCGTTATGACGATTAGACAACAAGGGCCATGGTGCCTTGTATTTAA